CGGAAAAGAAAAGAAAGAAAAATTCGGAAAGATACATACAGCAATAAAAGTCGTATAGAAAATTGACGTTCTACGTTGCTTAACTTTGGAATTTATAATTTGTGTTCGTTTTCTTTATCAATCTCTATCGGGGAAAATAGGCGACGGATAAAATATCAAGATCAAAATTAAGAACCTAAAATTTTTGCACGACTATGGTCATCTGTGATCAAAGGATACCCATCGAGAATCTGGCATAAAGTTATTATTTAAACGAGAGAATAACGGGTGTGTTGATTTTCCATCCTACGCTGGCTCGACGTCTACTATCTTCAAAGTATCGGAAAAAGAGAAGAAGGGATTCGACGATGTCAAGTTCTCGAACGTTTCCTCCACGCGACACGGTTAGACTTACACCAGAGGTATCCGGTTATCACACGCGAAAGAGTTGTCTAATTGATGATCGCCCTTTTCTTTCCATTCGCGCGTGACCTGACCCATTTATATAAGCGAGTCCGGTGCACGTACGTGCGCCAGTCGAAAATCAATTTCAACGTCGAGATTATCGAGGTTACCCTCTAGATTAAGATTCCTATCGATCACGCCAACCGCGATCCTTCCTCCAACTCCGAACGTTTCGTTACGTTCATCGGTTAACAAACGCCACGTCCAGACACTTGTACAAATTTCATCGGCTGGCTCGCGGCCGAAAATGCACGCGATCCGTCCCCTCCGAGAAACACGCGGCCTAACGATTACTTAGTGGTGACAAGAGAGAGCGAGAGAGATATCGATCGGTCGATCGGTCGATCGGAATGGAGCGCCGCTGTAGAGGAATTTACGACGTTGTTCGTTTCGCCAGACGAGTGTCAGGAAGGAATAGCAGCTGACTGAGAAAGTCCATCACGATCTTTTTCCATCTTTTTCAATCTCTTCGAATGTCTCAACAGTGAAACAACCGGCATCGAATGTTGCTTGTTATATCGATTTCTACCACATGTCGTATTTAAAAAAAAAAAAAAGAAAAAAAAGATGATTTGATTGCTTCGACATTTAAATAACCAATTAGTAAAAATAACTTTCAATGTTAGTATTCACTGACACAACGAATGAGATTTTCTAAATTGTTATCGAGATTGGTCTTGTTTGAAAAAGTGATTGAGTGACGAGATCGAGTGTAGGATAGAAACTATCGAAAAATATAATTTTATATTGCTATTTGTTTATTTTTTCTTTTTTAATGAAATAAACCATGAAATAATGAAGGCTATCGTATTGAAGAATTTTTGTCTAGGTATTCTATATAACTCTTTTATTTCGATAAACGTCAAATGTAAACGTCCAATAGAAAGCTTAACCCTCGGTTTGTATTCCAGAGAAGGAAGTGCTGCATTTTTGAAGCAAAATTCACAGACTTAAAGAGTATTATTATGTATCTTCACTCAATGACAGTGTTAAAGATAAACACCTGCGTGACCGCAAATAATCGACAACGAAACGAAATCGAATTGTTGAACCTACAACGAGAACGTTCGCAGAAGTTGCATATTTCGTGCAACGGCTCGTGTTTCTCCCTAAATTTCTAGGTCAATCGGCCGCTTTAACCTTTCAGAGACGACGTTTGTGCACCGTACTGACTCCTGTGCAACCTCCACTGAAACGGTTATCTCAACGGTATTAAATTTCACGATTATATACAAGATGTCCCTGCGATCGTGATATTAATCGGCCACACTGTGCGTTGCGTGATTCTACACACGCAAAAGTCGGTCGAACGAAAGACTAGCTGCCGTTTCGTTTAATGCTTCGTTCGCCCGAGGAAATCGAGTTTGAAAATTGATACTAATTGTACACTGGTCAGGAATGAACAACAAGCAAAAAAGATTATTCTGCCTGATGAAAATAAGTCGAAAGAATATAATTTTCAATTAAATTTGAAAATTTGTCAAATAACCAAACACCAACGTGTTCGTTCTTTTGGAAAATAAGGCGTCAAATGGAAGAATTTTAATTTACGTTTTCGCAGACAGAATAATCAATCTATTCGGTCCACAATTAACCAAATGCTTGACAAATTTTCAAATTCATTTCTCTCGGAAACGAAGAAGCCTGCGTGAAAAGATTTCACAAACGATCGCAAGGATACTCTGTATATAAATTGAATCACCATCCGAGTCTATAAATTTATGATTAAACCGACCAATGGTAATTATTATTATTATTATTAATATAAATGTCTGTCTTAGAAAAATGATCAAACAATTCTAAATAAATGAACATTAACCGTAGTTAATCCTGAAGGGCTAATCTCAAGCTGTCTGTACGAGTTCCCACTCGGAGATCGCGAGTTCAGTGAAATATGATACGTGGAATCGCGACGATAATTGCCTTTCTTTCCGTGCGATTCCGAATCATGCGATCGCGAAAGAAAAAAAAAAAAAAAAAAAAAAAAAAAAAAAGTCCGATTCTCGGAAGAGACGTTTACCGTTTTATCTCTCGTTATTACAACGTCCAGCGTTAAACGTCGACAGCGCAGGCCTTCCAGCACGATGCAATGAAAAATAGTATCCTGGATTGGATTTTTTTTTTCCCCCGCGATGAGGCCACGCTCTATAAATACGTGTAAAGGGTACAAGGGACAGAGAAACGAGCACGTATTCTCATTTATTTACCAGTCACCTTCGAATCGTCGCATTAGCGCTTTAATCTGTCATCCCGATCGCTAGTCGATACACCGATGTGTAATCTAGGTGTCACCGATGCTTTCCTGCTTCTCAACATTTTCAACGATCCAACAACGAAAGGAGAAAAAGCGGACAGATCGCGAACTCAGTCAGTCAGGCTGACCATAACCGAGACTCGTTCTACTGATTTTTAAGTGAAATGAGCGTTGGTATCTGGGTGTCAAAAATGTTTTGCAAAAATTTCTTCAATATTTGGTGACTGAATACCGAAAAAAAGGAAACACGATATCTACTACATTGATGAGAAATAGTCTGACCACAATGGGTATCGTTCTACTGATTTTGAAGCAATATATCCCTGGCTAATCGATGTGTCAATAGACAAATATTTAGGTGTCATTAAGTGCTTCTTTGTTTGTTAAGATTGTCTGGCGATCAAACAAAAAGCTCAAAAAAATAGTCTGACCATAACGAGTCTCGTTCTACTGACTTTTAAGTGATACGTCTCGATCGCTAGTCGAGAAGTATAAACATCTCGCAAATGCTTTGCTGTTTCTCAAAGTTTTTGACGACTCATAAAAAAAGAAAAAAGAAACTTAATGATTCGAGATATCTCGACGTATCGATATAGCAAGTCTGATTATAACAGACCGTTCTAACAATAAATCTCATTTTTTTTTTTGTATCATAACTTTTGCTCAGATAGCCATGCCATGACCGGTTTTACATGTCACTATGAAGAAACGAGTACTCCTCCGTGAATAGGCGATTAAATAAATATATCCCATCAATTTTCCATCTCTCAGCCATCATTGATGGCATAAATACAAGTAGCACTACTGATTTCTAACAATAAATAATACACTATCCTAACCGCCGATGCACTGTTTTATTTCTCAGGATTTTTTCAAGGGGAAACTCGGTTGTGACGTAACGAACAATCTGACCACAACGGGTGTCGTTCTACTGATTTCTAACAGCAAGTGAAGCATCCCGGTCTCGGTCGATACACCGACGGATACACCGAGTGTCTAAAAATTACAAACTACTTTCCTGTTTCTCAAGGTTTTCATCGACTTGACAACGAAAAGGGTAAACACAACAAAAAGGTGTATCGGTGTATCGCGCGCGAAGCCATCGATGACGGCGTAACTGTAGGAGCGGTCCGACCGTAATAGGAGTCGTTCCACTGACTTCTAAGTGAACACGTGCATCGAATGGTATTACCGTACGCAGGCACCCAGGCACAACGTGCACGACACTGAACTTCTAGCTCGTTTTATCAAGTCAAGTACTCGCAACGTTTCGTTACTTCGTCCGACGCAACGGTACACAGTCATCATCATCGGTCAACATGCAACAAACCAGTGCAGTTGGACGAACAACTACGCAAACGCTACTTTCCCAAGACTTTGAGAACTCGCGGATCGCGTACGTTATGAAAAAAAAAAAAAAAAAAAAAAAAAAAAAAAAAAAAGAGACAGAAGTCGCTCCGAGCGAAGGAAACGAGGAAAACGAACGTTTCAATCGCGGAAAGTAGAGATCATCACGCTACAAAATGTACATCTGTATGTAGGTTAAACGAGTTACGACCCCGATGTCTTTGCAACGACTTGCCCGACGACGGATTTGAATACGGTTTCAATTGGAATTTTAAATTCGATCGCAGCAATCGTTTAATGATATTCATCCATACGGCTGCCAGTTAATTAACGAAGTTAGTTTGGGAAACTGTTCGACGGCACGGAAACTCTACCTCTACAATTATACGAAACGGTAATACCGCAACCGGGGTACACGGGATACTTTCTCGAGTCACGTTTCCACCGATTTTCTCCCGGATTTGAAGACTTAGTCACAAGGCTTGACCAAGGCCTGTCGAGTAAAAAGAGCAGAACACAGACCGTGTCGAGGACAGTCGTTCCCGCAGATTTCGCACGATCGTTCCTCGGTGACTCTACACTTGAAAGCACTTTGTCCGGATAGAGGTTTCCCAAGTTTTGCGGTTCGTCGCGAGATATTTTCAGCCGATTCAGCGGATACGGTTACGACCGCCGAGAACCGTTCGCGAGCACCCTCCCACCCTTGCCAAGAAGATTATCCGGACTCTCTTGTCGAAACTCTCGTAAAAGACCGAAACCGACAGATCGATCAACATCGAACGACAACGCTTCAGCTTCGAGATGGAGATCGGTCGGATTCTCGGTTATCGGCGTCTCTAGAAATAAAGTAAAATACTGACTATGCTAAAACATAACACGACTACCAGCTAAGAGCGTGCTGTCAGCGCTAAGGCAAAGCGGCAAGCGAGAGTGATAGAGTGTGGAGTTGGTATACCGGCGCGGGACTGACCGTCGTGGAGCGGATCGATCGTGTGGATCATAAGCTGTAGCAAGCCGTGCCTGAACTTGGCGTGGCTCTCCCTGGAATGAGACGAGGAGCCACCGTGGGCTCCCTGCTCGCAGCCCTGTCCGGCCGTGCCACCGGCACCACTGCTGCTGCCACCTCTGCTGCTGCACCCGGCCTCTCCACCCGCCGGTATGCCGCTGCTTCCGCATGCACCCGACACGCCACCCACGCTCGTCTCGCTACTGTTCGTCGCGTTCGGATGCTGCTGGAACACACACGTCATTTCGTCTCTCAATACAACATCGATCTCCTTCTTTCATTCCGCTTGTTACACGATTTTTCTTTTCTTTTCTTTTTTTTTTTTNTTTTTTTTCTTATCGTACCGCTATTTTTGTTTTATTGTTTTTTTTTTTCTGCTCTAGATTTTCTACTCTATTTTAATTCTACTTCCCTTTGTCTGTAGGCTGTTTTGTCTTGTCTACTTGTCTCCGTGTCTTTTCTTTTCTTTCTTCTCTCTCTCTCTCTCTCTCTCTCTCTCTCTCTCTCTCTCTCTCTCTCTCTTTTACTGTAATCGCTGCTCGGTCGACCAGCCTTCACCCCCGACTCCGAGACCCACGCGAGAAATCAGTATGACAATGTAGTCATGTTGCTTCGATCAAATTTACACGTTCGCGTCAAACTCTTCGCGCCATTTTGTTCACGCAGTCGAAGGAACAGCGTCTCGTGTAAGAACATTTCTCGCGATCTCTCTCGCTGCACAGCGAATTGCAGCTAATGAAAGTACTACTAGTCGCTCGTTATATCGCGGTAAACAGAGTTAACGAGATTAGACGGTCGACGCGCTTCCACGTTCCGATTCGAATCGATATCTCGCCGGGCGCGACGGAGGTTAGGGGCATTCAGACCTCCGAAGCAAGGATATACATATATGCGCGAAGAGTAACTCGAGCATACACTTTACGTTTCGGACTCGCTATTACGAATAACTTTGTCTCTATCTCCGACATCGTTTTCTCACCGGCTCTCCCCCGTTTCCTTTTTTCTTTCCTTCGCTTTCGAGGCTGCAAACGAACTGGATGACTTTTCTCGTCCGCTGTATGTACGCGTGAAACGTTAACGGACTCGACGCGAAACTCCCACGCCTCGGATTCCCACTTTCAGGTCGCTTCCGGATAGCCGAGTAACACGCTTCGGTCGAATCGCGAGTCACGAGAGTGTCGCTTCTGGCCTGGCTATACATCCCATGCGTCCTTTTGTTCGTTCAGATGCGGATGAATCGAGGTTACGGAGACAGCAGCCCCCGACTCCAAACCGCGCGGAACAATAAGCGCATTCGCGAATTATCGAAACGATCGGCTAACGATACGTCTGCTGTTCGACTTCCTTCCATTATTCCCGGACGATTGCAATTAGGCGTTCCGAAAACGTGGTGATCGTGGCGAGTGAAACGATTGTGTCGAGGAATTAAGGGAGCCGTGTTGTTTTCGCAGAAGAACTGAAGATCTGTACTTTGTAATACGAGTGTGTATGTCTTTAATAACGTTGAGCGGGCCAAAAATCCTACTTGCTACTAAAATAAATCCGTGACTTTCTTATTATATATACTGTATTCAATTTGTGAATAAATAACTTTTGAAAAAATCGTGTTTGAACTTGAGTTTAATTTAAAATTAACAAAATTAGCTTTCTCTTGTATATAATTTGTTGTTTTATTAAGAAAAATAGGTGGAAAGAAACTTTTGTCCCACCCTGTACATGTGCTTTTATATACGTTTTAGTATACGTCTCTTAATTTAGGGAACTCTAGTGTACGTTTGAAACATTTGAAAATTTCATTGACATATGAAAGACGCTTATTAATTACAATGGCAAAGCTGTAAAATTAATTTGGAAATGTACGTCAAAGTTACGAACATTTCCAGACTTAACAAATGATCGATATACAACGCATAATATGTTTGAAACACATTAACAAGTGTTAAAAACAGTACAACTGGACGCTTAAATTTATTAATAATTCTGAGAGGTTATATAAGATAATTGGCTGTTTAAATGTAATGTTTTTGTAATGTCTGCGAAATTTTCTGTGCACATATATAGATTCGTTTCAAACTTGGCCAACGTAATCGTGACAGTTGTGTCTTTTTCTAATGTTAATGAAATTTCAAATTACTTTATACTCGCAAACTGTCGCTATAAGCATTCGAATACTTTCGTAAACAATTGTATTTAAATAAACGTGACATGTGAGATGACAAAAGTATATAAATGTCTGTGTATTAAAAATTACACGAATTGAATTTGTTCAGTCTACGAGTACATATGTATTTACATACACGTGAAAAAAGGTGAAATAGGGACCTCTACCAAGATGTTTTCCCATTGATTTGACGAATGCTAAAAGTATCTCTGCCGCTCGATAACGGATAACCTCAACGAATACCGATTTTATTAGTTGATACATTGATCTATTTAAGAAACGTGTATTCCTGCAGAGCTGCCAAGAGAAAGAGAAAGAGAAAGAGAGAGAGAGAAAAGGAGAGAGAGAGAGAGAGAGAAAGAACGACAGAAGAGAAAAAAATATGCGGCTGAGTGAGTGAAAAAAAAGAGCACTACTATGAATAAACAAACAACTCGAAAATACGCAGCACGTTGACGCGATAAAAAGTAATTTCACTCAGGTGAAAAATACCCAGAGGCGTGCGAAACGAAGGACAAAGACAGAGGAAGGCCGATGAAAAATCCGGTGATCGAGTGAACGCGGAATACACGGGGAAATTTCATCGTACCCATCCTCTGTTGTTTCTTCGCCTTAAATTTCACTCGGAATACTTTCGCCATTTATCATATTTCTATTAATGCTTGACAGTGACGATGATTGGTGCGTCGTACGGCGAAACGAAATCTACAGGAAGTTTCTTCTGCGATACAATTGGAAAAGAGATGAAGAAAAAGGGTAGAAAATTCTTTCCATTTAAAGCGTTCGTTTCCAGAAGAGAAAACCGAATTTTCGAGTTTGACGATAAGGGATCCAACAGAAAAAACGAGAAATGTCAAGTTTTAGCATTTCTCAGAAAACGAAAATTTATTTTCTCACGTGTAACGTCAAAATTTTCTTACGTATGAAAGTAAATGTATTCGGAGTGACAAATGATTGAAAAAATGTTGAACTTGCAATTTGTTGAAATTGACATTCCACTTTTCCCCCGGATTGGACTCGTCAAATTTGCTTTCACTCGAACTTGGCTAATTCTGAACCAGATAAGGATGAAACACCTTGCGAGGTAATATTGTTCATATAATTTTACAATGTCTTGATTCATTTGATTTACACGAGAAAGATAGTATTATTTGTTTATAAAAACAAAACACTTTTTTTTTATTTAACTATTTTACTAATTTCTTTCATGTTGATTTCATATTCAAAAGACGTACGAAAAAGTTGCAACTTTTCATCGAATAATTATCAAACCGTGGATGCTATATAAAGAACTTATTACAGAGTAATAACCTGACACAAATTTCCATTTAACCCTTGTTCATCCCTTGTGCGTGTCAATTTGACATATTTTTCCTACAAAATGTCTAGAAAGTATATAAAATTGTAAATTCGATCGTCTGATACCTGAGAGTGGATTGCACGTAGCTGAAATTTAACCTACTTACCGATTAATAAAAGTATTTGCAAGTTTACCCGTTTGCTACTAATTTTTTACCACTTGCAACAAGGAACAAATTAAGTCGGGAAAAGCGAGCTACGTCTCATCTAAAAGTGAAAAATCGCACGAACATCCACGTCCGTCCGGATAGTAATTACCGGTGCCTACGAAGGAAATTCTTTGAAAGAACTTCAACCAATTTTGGACGACAACGTCCTATGGCCTCTCCCTTTGAACAGAGCGTCTCTCGTAATGGTTGACCAAAGTCCTCCCCCATCGTTTTTTACCTGTTACGTCGCGCGACAAGGGCTGAGAATGTTTGCGAATTCGTCGAGGGCCGTGTTTTCCCCGCGCATACTCGCTTAGGCGTAGCTTGCACAGAACCTGACGAGAAGAGCCGCGCACACTCCACGGAACGAGATAATGATGCAGCGTAGCCAACGCATAAGCTGGATAGCTCGTAACTACGCGACGTCGCACTGCATCCTGTCGTGTTTGCCGATTACATTTCCACCCCTGTTCCCTTCGTTTTTTTTCCCTTTTCTCTCTGGTTTAATAATTCCGGCTTAATCGGCGCGAACGATCTGGTAGATTGAAACGGATAGGAGGAAAGTTTGACTTTGCGAATCGAGTCAACGTTGTTGAGGAGAGTGCGCGAAATTTGGTAAAAGAGCAAAGTCCAATTTCACCGAGTTGACAGTTTTATTTATTTCTTTGCTATTAATTCGCCGTCATTGTCGTTGTTAAATTATCAGACAATGAGAGAGATGTTCTTCTTTACTTCCTATTTTGTTTCAGTTCGTCCAGTGAATGAAGGTTGCTCGTGTCGTGCGAAGAAATTAACATCTATCACGTTCCCTTAACCACTTGCGCTGGCAACTGGTTCTCGCAGACCATAACGAGTGACCGAACCGTATACGATAATTTGTCGCTTTCCTTTTCTTTTGAACTCGTCCGTATGACATCACTGGATAGAAACAATTAAGAAGTAATCAATTTATCATTTGTTTTGCATTTGGATTACATTTCAATATACATAAAACTGAAAAAATGTTGCAATTTGGGAGAAAGAATTCTCGACGTGCATGGCACGTCATTCCAGCGCAAGAGATTAAAGACGTTAATTCACAGATTTCTCTCTTCTTGTCTCTACAATTGTCCTTATGGTGTCTCACAAGTTCAAGGTACTCTTCACTATGAAGATACTATAAAGTTTTTCGTGAAAGGAACCAAAGTTTGAAATTTTAACGCGTCGTCGAGCCGAAAGTTCGAGCAGTCTTAAGAAAGCTCGTTAATCCTCCTCATCGTGCTCGTGTTAATCCCCATTTTTCGAACTTAATCTGTTCCCTAGTGTAAAATTTGCACGATGAATAATTAAATTTGCAAATTCTTTTATTAACAGAACTGAATATTGAATTCCATATAAAATTCGTAGCAAACAGAACTGAATATTGAATTCCATATAAAATTCGTAGATAGAATACTATTAATCCCCAGACGTAAATGTTCGATTTCATACTGATGATCTTGTCTTCTCCCGTTTTGCCAAATATTTATCGTCATTTTCACTTGTTCGCACCGAATGCATAATTACCGCGTAATAAAT